GCGTGCTCAAACACTAATCGATGTTTGGAGTGCGACATATAAAATGTGTATACATTAATCATATAACGGTTGATACACAAGGCATCAGAGCTCACCTGAATCCGCTTATGCCATTTCCGATAATACACCAGAGGTGGAATGCAAATTAATGACAGAAGATGTAATTATTCTATTTTATGAAAGTCCAACCTGTCACAATTAAAATTCTCCGAAAAAAGACCAATTCTGAATTGGAACCTTCAATAAATTAAGCAAGCAATAAGATAATATTTGTGTATTCGCTCCAACATGTCATTATTATATGAAAGTTGAAACGCTTCACGGTGAGCACAAACAATACACTTAGTTTTTCCGTCAGCCGATCCGACTACTGCAGGATCTTTCAAACGTTTTTCTCTCGCATTTCAAGGCGATAATGCTACTACACATTAAATAAATTGAAAAGGACAGGTGCAAGAGCTATACCAACCTACTTCATTCTGGTATTGGTAGAAAGGCCACATTTCAATTTTTTTTTAAAAAAGTGCTGTGCCTAGTTATATAGCGTTCATGTCAAAGAAATTTCACAACCCGAAGTGCCAAAAAGTCAATAAATCGATAAAATTCTCCAGGTTTTATTGTTTTTTTATTTACAAAATCTCTATTAAAAAACTATGCACAGCACTTTTCCAATACCAGAAGTTATTCTGATTACAGGGAGCCCAAAACCAGGGCGATCCGATTTCATCTTGCACCTGCCTTTTTGACTTTTTTGGGAAATGTCCTTACTTTCAGTTTGAAGTCACGTGACACTAGTGTATTTATATTTTTTTCAGAATAGACCCTTTTCCCTCTGTTTACCCGTTTGACGTGCAATTTGGCCTTTAGGCAGAGAAAACTAACTTCAAGTTCAATATGATTTTTCCTGTGTTTAAAAACGGGAAATTTCTTGAAACGCCATTAACGTCCCTGCGTTGTCAATACAGTTTTCTATAGATATTAATTTGTATTTCCAGCTGATATAGTCAAACTGTACAGCTTTACATTATGACGAAGGACTGTATCACTTTGATGCCCTGACCGATGCAATAGGATAACCAAGACATGTCATGGATATTTTTCGTAAAAAAAAACAACATATTATAAATTGAATAACAATTTTTATAAATTGGATGTCTGGCATGCATTACGATCTGTTTCAAACAAATACTTTCTTTTTTAAGTGTTTGATATAAATATAATGCAACACCAACATTGATTTCTCCAAAACATATACTATATATAAGGAGGTTGATATCTTAACTTGTTCCTGCCATGGCAAAAAAAAATGAGGTATTGTGAAACAAGGACATTCCTTTTGTTTATAAAAGTCTAAATATTGGTCTCTTTTTTCCCCAAGATTGAGTCATTATTTTAGAAACCTGGTTATTTAATTTAGCACACTTGTCGCGCTTTTTGTCAAAAACAAGCTCAACAATCACTGTGTAACCCGAAGATTGAAATTTTGTACGCCAACCGCGCGTTTCGCCTACTAAAGTGGGACTTTTCGAACTGCTTGAATTCTTAGGTCACAAAATATCGTGACCTACATTGAGATGTTAAACCGATAAAAGTCCTTCCGTTCTTATTGGTAGTACATGCACATCTTATACATGTTTTACTTGTTGGGCCTTTCAATTTCTTGAATATGAAAGAAACAAAAAAATAAATAAAGGAAAACATTATCATTACGAATTTATGCCCTTAAACGACCACAATGTCTGATCCTATTTATAGTATAAATATTCATTTAAATCAAGGGTGGACTGAGATATGAAAACATAGTCATGATGACTTATATTTGGTAGTAACATTCATGCTAAATTAGGTTAGATTATGCCACTGTTTTCTTGTTCGAGATATGTAAACTAGCAAACTCGTCATATTTGATTTGCATGTTTAATACAATGTGTCTTTAAGGGGACGTGTTTTTTGACAATGAGGCATTGTAACATCTACCTTTGAGGTCAGTAGTTGTTCCATTGCTAAATGTTAGTTCCTTCCAGTATACCAGTGTAATCGTTTAAAGTATTTTTTTGTTAGATATACATCATTTTCCCCAGTCGATTCACTATGTAGAACCTACATGTACCTATCGGTGTATAGTCAAACAATATATAGTGTAACCAATTTAAGGTGTCATCAATTGTTTTTTTCCATCTTAATCCTCAAGTAATATCGACCGCCTCTATCTTAATTGTTTATAAATAATATTACAAAACATGCATACTCAAATACAAACTGAACTTGAAGTGTAATTTCTTTAAGTTGTCAAACTTGGATTTGTCTTTCAGGTGGATGTATATAGTTGAACGGGATATAGGAATATTTAAGTATACTTTCGATTTATCTGAGAAGCAGACGATCGTTAAGTTTACATCAATACCTGTTAATTGTATGGATATAGGTAGGAGGTACTTGATGAATTTGGTTTAATAATTTATTGATTTGGTTTGGTGTACTATATTACAATTGTGTATTTCAAAATGTTAACCGGTCAACAAATAACAATTCTTAACAACGTGTTCAGTTATTAGCTGAGATCAAAATTGCCATTCATACCACTTTGCTTTTTTCTCGAAATATATGTTCAGTAGGCTTAAGAAGGAATCTACGAAATTATATCAATACATTGTTAAACCAATTTCTTTATATCTATGTAACTACATGCGTGCCTTTTTAGATATGAAATATGTAGAATTATTGGCAAGTGTTTTCTCAATTTATAATTCTAGTTAGTTACGGAAAACAATATTATATTGATATACGATCAGACATAACACATGCAATATCGCATAGTAATGAACTTCAAGATATGTCCTCATCGTCATTTGACATACTTTCTGCAGATATTTGGTCATAGTGTTTAAAACATTTGTTTGTCCACGGATAACTGTTCAGAACATTCGAAATGCTGATCAAATGTTTCACCTACACGTTGGAGGAACAAAAAGTGATAGCATTTGTAAACATTTATGCCATTGATTTTTTTACTTTGTCGTTAATGTAGGTGAATCAATCGTGAAGTTTACACCAGATTTATAAATAAAGTAAGTGAACTACATTTATATATTATTGTTGTAAGAATGCATTATAATTGATCAATCATTTGTTTCTACATATTATAGATCTGGATGAACAAAGACTGTATTGGATTAATTACAATGGTGAAATGAAATCAGCGAAAGACGATGGTTCTGATGTTAAAACAATACTTTTAACAACTACAAGTAGAAACTACGTAGCTATTTGTGTCGTCGGTAGTAACATATATTATGCCAATGAAAATCAGTTGTTAATGGTAACAAAATACCAAGGATCAACGCCGACTGTTCTGTATAACGATACACAAAGTATTAACAATATATTTGTGTTTAATCAATCAGGTATGTTAATAACCATCTATAATCACGTATAACGATAACCTACGTCATACGTTGACTTAAATCAACACTTCTTTATAATTTCATGTTAGATTATCATACACACATGCATAGACCTGTTAGACTGGTAGTTATTGTTAAATTACCTAACAAATTACTTCTTTAAGCATGACATTTAAACATGAATACCAGCAATGTAATCGTATACATATATAATACTGATAATTTTTCACAATAATGGAAAAAAGGGTAGTTTGTATGTGAAAATAAAATCAGTGTTGATTTTAAAGTGCACACACATTCTGATTAAATTTTAATATTTAGTACAGCACGAACGATTCATTGTTTTGATGATGTCTTAATTAAATGGGATAAAAACGTCAATGAAAGCAGCTCAACATCAAACAAGACATAGAAAACAATTTGAAAGAAAAAAATTGTTTGCACTCAGTTGAGAAACTAAATAACAAATACTTATAATTAGTATTAAAGTTAATCTTGCAAATATGTTATAAAATTACATTTTGTTTTCATATGTTTAAAGACTGCTTATGCTGTATTATTGTCATACGTGCGTTTATATTGTTTATTCCTAATTGCTAGTGGCTAACTGATTTTCATATTCAGCTGTTTACTTAATAAATGTATATATTGTTATTCTGATTAACCAAATGTACATGTGTAGTTTTTTCCTAACATTTGCTTCAATGCGTTCCATGCAAATTGTGTATGCAATATTCTATTATATAAGCTAAAGTTACATTTGTATTTTTGCATTGTCTTGACTGATGAAATGTATTAATATTGATATTTTTTTGTTATTGAATAAACTTAGTTTTATTTCTTTAATCTCGTTAAAGTATCAACTTTTTTGATAATTTCATAGAATAAGTTGACGAATCTATTATTATTGTTAGCGTAACAACTTTGACAACAATTATAATGATTAAGTAACTCATATGTTTAAGACTGAAATTGCTTTACATGAAATTGTACCATACAAAAAAGAGGTAAGTAATTTTACCTTACGTTTTTAATTTACTCAAATCAATAAACTATTTAGTCATGTTAGTATCGTGATATAAAACTGTGGTAGTATTGGCAACTGAGACAATTCTTCGCTTTTGTTTTGATTGAATAGCATTGCGTTTTTAATCTTAATCAAAGAAAAATACTACTTTGCTCTTTAAGTATCAATATGCAAAATAAAGGCAACAGTAGTATACCGCTGTTCCAAAGTTATAAATCGATCGAAAGAACACAAATCCGGGTTACAAACGAAAGCCGAGGGAAACACATCAACTATAAGAGAATAACAACGAAACAACAGAAACACTGAAGTGCAACATGAAACAAACGCCAATGCAACATACATAGAAACGAACTATTAGATAACAACTTATTAAAACGTAGTATTATTGTTAACTGGGACAACTATCATTTTTTAAATTGAATAGCATTATAACGCTTATGTTTGTATAAGCAATTTAATTCACCATAGCTCGTTTTTTGTATAATTTGATTTTTGTTTCTACTTTGTACAAATGAACTTTTACTAAGCCGCAAAACACGCGAGAAAATTCAAATAAATACAAAAAAAAAATTATAACAGTATATTTCTTGTATTTGTCAGTCATGGAAGTTAATATTAACAAACGAAGAAGAAATTATTCAGAACCACCCGACTTGTGCAGATAAATCAGCAGTGAAATACAGATATATGGTATCATGGCTAATATTCCAAGCGAAATAATGAAACACTAATAAACTAAGAGCAATCAACATAATCCAACTTAGAAAATACTTTTGGAAAAACCCAAGGCATTAAAATCATGTCATCCGGAAATTTTATACTGACATGTTTCGAATTCCACCTAATTTGTTGTTCATATTTAAAAGAAAAATTAAAATACTCCTTGTTAACATACCAAGTGTTTTTTGGGGGCAATTTAATTCAAAATCCGTTTGGTTATCGGAAACTTAAAAACGAAATGGAAAATACATTGATTTGTATAATTTATTGACAAGATGAACAGAAGATCAATATGAAATGTGGTGAAACACTGGATTCAAAACATCTTTAATCAAACTATTGTGTTTGTTACGTATAATCCATATTAAAGTATTGCTATTTCACAGTAATCATTAATCTCAATGAAGCTTATGTTATGCTTATTCATGTAAGGATAGAAATACGTAGAACAATGCTGTAAAAGAAGGGCAAAAGATACCAGAGGGACATTTACACTCATAGGTCAAAAATAAACTGACAACGCCATGGCTAACACAAACAGAAAAACGATAGTACACAAGACATAACATAGAAAACTAAAGACTAAGCAACACGAACCCCACCAAAAACGAGGGGTGATCTCAGGTGCTCCGGAAGGGTAAGCAGATCCTGCTCCAGATATGGCATTCGTCGTGTTGCTCATGCTATTACAAAGCCGGTAAATAGTCTAATTCGGTAGGTCACATTCGTTGGAAGGGAACGGGATTGTAGTTACGACGTTAGGAACATATCTGATATCATCTGTTTAACAAATGTGTCTGTAATGAATAAATACAGAACACCCAAACATTATATTTTACAGGTTGAACTAGAGTTCTGCAATGTAATTTTTTGTCAAACAAAACTGAAATTTTAGATCGAAAGGTAAGCATAGCGTATTGATTCGCTTATTTTGTACAAATAGTTCATATACAGCTTAACATCCAGTTGTTGTTTTGTAAAATAAACTAAGACATTTACACAAGAAACAATTTGCCTGTTATATTTGAATTAGACCGAATTAGACTATTTACCAGGTTTTTAATAACACGAGCAACACGACGGGTGCCACATGTGGAGCAGGATCTGTCTACCCTTCCGGAGCACTTGAGATTAACCCCAGTTTGTAGTGGGGTTCATGTTGCTTAGTCTTTATTTTTCTTTATGTTTTGTCTAGTGTACTTTAATTTGTCTGTTTGTCTTTTTCATTTTTAGCCATGGCGTTGTCAGTTTATTTTCGATCAATGAGTTTGAATGTTCCTCTGGTATCTTTCGCCCCTCTTTTTGAAGTGCATACACACACATTAGTGAAGTTAGGTTAGTATTATGATAGTATATTATTCTTATTTGTGAATTTTTAAATCGAAAAATATACCTCTCTACATTTTCATTTAACTAATTAAAAGAATATTAAGTAAACGTCATTTATGCAAGTGTTATTCATTTCAATGCATTAAATAATTTGAAAAAAGCTAAGCATTTCATTTTGATATACTTTGGTTTAAATGGTTGACACTTTATTTCAGGATGTTTTAGTAAACCGTATAAACTATTTATAACGTTTGCCGACATCAATCTATCGAAACATTGCAAGAATATTGTCCAATTTTAAACGATAAGTTGGTATCACTATATCATTTGATTTTTATTTTTAATCTTAATAAATAGTTCATATACAGCTTAACATCCGGTTTTTTTTTATGAAATAAACTTAGACATTTGCACAAGAAACATGTGTATACATATACATGTGAGAAGTTGTGTGATTATAATGATAGTATATAATTCCTTATGGAAATTTTGGATTCGGAAAACGTACCTCTACATTTTAATCTAACTAGAATATTACCTTAAGGAATGTAAAACAAAGTGTTTTAGTAATGTTCAGTTCAATGCATTAAATATTGTGAAGAAAGATATGCATTTCATGTTTTTATACATCGTTTTAAATGCTCATCACTATATTTCAGGATGATGTAGTATATCGTAAACATTAGGTTGTGGATGCCGATACCAACCTATCGAAATATTGTGTGTATTTTGCCAAACTTTAAATGGTAAGTTGATATCACTATATTTATTGTAATCAATGTAATCAGCTGAGATTCGCCTATATTTTACCATTGTATATGTACTAATTTTGCGGTGTTATTTTATTACGAATTTCGCGGAAGATAATTTTGTTTTATAAAATATACACGAATTAAACTGCAGATTTCATGCATATAAAAGTATAAAAATGATCGAATATATATTATTGGAATTGATAACTGTACATGCATGTTAACCTTATTGGCAATAGATAACCTCAATCGAACCTTAAAACTGTTAAAACAACACCTGTTATCTTTAAAGAATAAAAGGACACACGATGGAAAATAATAGCCCATGCTAAATATGATAGGTATATTTTTAATAAGTAATCAGTGAACTAATGGTATTATACATCTATCAACACAGATGACCGATAATAGAATTGAAAACTCGTTGTATAATCTGTATCATATTGTAAAACAAAGAAAGGACTAATTAATGAACATTTTAAGAATTATATCAAGTCAATTATTTATGTTGTGATATTTTTTGCAAATACCACGAAATTAAATACCCGCGAATTCATCGACGATACTAAAATCGTAAGAAAGGAAAGCATTGTGATGTCGGTTAATGTTTGACGTTGGATTTGGCATTCCACGTTGTAAAGTCGCATTTATGACATTCTTGAAACTTAAACTTTATGCCACACAACATAAAAGGTAAACGCTTATTTCAGATATTCAGTTGATAATTTTCAGATAAGTGTGATTCCAAGAAATGATTAAAAAGGCCAAAAACAAGTGTAAAATGATATGATTATGATTATGAAACATGAAAATTGAAATCCCATTTTTCATCATTTGACATTTCCTGTTCACAAATTGAATCCATTATTTACACCAACCACTGGTAAATTACATTCGAATTTCGGTCTTAGGTGTTCGTCCTTGTTTCCGGAAATATTATAAAATTGAGAATGGAAATGGGGAATGTGTCAAAGAGACAATAACCCGACCATAGAGCAGACAACAGCCGAAGGCCACCAATGGGTCTTCAATGCAGCGAGGAACTCCCGCACCCGGAGGCGTCCTTCAGCTGGCCCCTAAACAAAGATGTATACTAGTTCAGTGGTAATGGACGTCATACTAAACTCCGAATTATACACAAGAAACTAAAATTAAAAATGATACAAGACTAACAAAGGCAAAAATGATACAAGACTAACAAAGGCAAGAGGCTCCTGACTTGGGACAGGCACAAAAATGCGGCGGGGTTAAACATGTTTTTTGAGATCTCAACCCTCCCCCTATACCTCTAGCCAATGTAGAAACAACAAACGCACAACAGTACGTACAGTAAAATTCAGTATAAGAGAAGTCCGAGTCCGATGTCAGAATAGGAAACAAAAGAAAATAAACAAAATGACAATAATACATGAATAACAACAGACTACTAGCAGTTACTGACATGCCAGCTCCAGACCTCAATTAAACTGATTGAAAGATTATGTCTTCATCATATGAAAATCAAGTACAATCCTTCCCGTTAGGGGTTTAGTATCATACCATCATTAAATATATGAGAAGAACATAACCCGTATCATGCCAACAACTGGTTTTAGAATAAATGTGTTTAATTCCGATGCATAGACCCTATAAGTGAATCAATATTAAAGCCAAAATATGCAATCTTTAATGACCTGACAACAGTATCGTAACTATATCCCTTCTTAATAAGTCTGTTTAAAGGTTTTGTTAGCTTTTGAGGTGAATACTGACATTTTTGTGCTTTGTAAAGAATATTACCATAAAAGATTGGATGTGAAATACCCGAACGTATAAGATGTCTGCATGTTGAGTTATATTTACGAATGATGTCCTTATACCGATGATAAAATTTAGTAAAATACCCACACAGGTTGAAATTGGCTACTATATACCTCATATTTGGTCTAATATAAATATATTCGTCCCATTTCATATACACCGAAATTTAATATTTATAGAAACTTCCATTCATGAACATGAAAAATACAAAGAGAAAGCGATCACAAGCACTTGTTTCTGTCTGTTCACTATCCATACTCGTACAAAACAGTTATTTTGTATGTGGGTGGGTAAGGGGAATTAAAGGGGACATAGTCCCCTATATTCATTTTCTTATTTTGCTATTATGATTATTAATTTATTTGAAATCTCTACACAAATGCTTCCTGCATTTTATTGAATAGAATATTAATTTTCATTCTGTGTCAGCAATCTTGAGTAATATTTATTTTATGTTCGGTTTTATGACTACATGGACATGTACCAGATCAGAATATTCATTACCATAATTAAGACTTCTGTCCCTTCTTTCCTATAAAAACATATTTGATAGCCATCATCTAAATTCATATCTCTGAAATTAATTATAAAATAAATTTACATATTGAAATTAACCAATCACTCATCCATTTGAACGGATACACATGCATTACATGTTATGATGTATCCCCATAAACTTACAAATTAATGCCTGTACATTTTTTTTTTATATCTGACATGTTATATTCTTCCAATAATTATATATACATTCTAATTAGAAATGAAGATCCATTGACAATATTACTTTCTCAAACTTCAATGATATATCAAATTGAAGTTGTCAATTTAGTGTCAATACAGTCTTGACAGTGGTGGTTCCAGGATTTAAAAAAAAAAACAAAAAAAACTGGGTTGTGAGTGACCCCTTAATGTATAACATGTCATCATGCATTTTACAATGGACATGTTATGATGTTTATGTACAACATTAAATATAAAAATTCTTTCAAAAGGTTTAGTATAACATAAATTTGCTCCATGTTAAACCTAGAAATTATTTTTTAAGACTTAAAAGTTTTCTTTGCCTGTAATTTTTATGTATTGAGCAAAAATGCTTGGGGCATAATTATTTATAATACTAATTAAATACATGTAAATGTATTTTCATGGTAATTTTTTTGGCAAATTTTTATTCATGTGATGATGATAACAATGCAACGTTTAATTTTGCTTTGATTAATTTAGTTTTATACATATATCCTGATGAAGCGATTTGATAAACTTGACCATTTTTTTTTCAGATATGATAATAACTTGAGCAGACCATATTAGGTCATAGATGGCCATAACAATAAATACAATATATTATAATTATCATTCTACATTACTCTCAGATTGAGTTAACAAACTTAATTTAATAACAACATATTTTCTTATTTTCTGTACACAAAAAAGCAGAAGAAGAATTTTACTGGAGGATAAAAAATCTAATACCTGGAATCAGCAATTTATTAGAAATGTGTAAAAAGAGATATATTCACATACAGGATGGTAACCCCACCAGATAACCCAGGTGGTACAAGTGATTTTGAGCAGACATTTTTGTTGATCTAATGCAAAATTTAATAAATAAAATGTTTGCAGACTATGGGCTCCAAAGTGTTGTAAAATGAGGAATTGTAATATGTGAGACTTATGATGTCAACATTGAAATGTGCAAAAGAGAAATGTTACAATATTTTGTAAAAAAATCAGACTATTAACTCAGTTGTTTTCATGAATTTGTTATCAAAGCGATATTATTGTTATATTAGTAATAGGATTCCATATGTTTATTTTGTACTTTTAACAACCTAATACATCTTCCCTCTGGCCTCAAGTGTTTCCCTTTTATTTTGCATAAGTGTAATTTAAAAAAATCTCCCTATTGCTTTTGGCGAATTCAAGTTCTGCCATTCCAAAATTGGACTTTATTCATGGAAAATTAGACACTTACCCAAATCTTGTAGAACAAATCAACTTTGCTTTGATACTTTTGCTAGAAATTGTATCACACGGCTAGATTTTATCAAATAAGCTCACTTTTGAGTATTTATCACACACTTAAATAAAATCTAGTATGCTTAGATTGATTTCCTTTACTTTTGCCCTGTTGTTGAGATTGAGCATTTTGAGTGAACGAATTTAATTATTTATCCCTATCACTTTGGGGTGCCATCGAGACCAGCATTTAACACTGCATAAATATATCCTATCACAAGTTATGATACAGCCAAACATACAACATAGCTAAGCCCCTGCCACCAAATTGAGAAAAGAGGTGCACAAGATACACAAATATTTCATAGGGCTAGCTACATAATAAGTAACATTGTATTCTTTGAAAAAGTAAAATCACAAAAATACTGAACTCCGAGGAAAATTCAAAACGGAAATCCCCTAATCAAACCAAAAGCTCAAAACAGCAAACGAATGGATACCAACTGTCATATTCCTTACTTGGTACAGGCATTTTTTTATGTAGAAAATGGTTGATTGAAATATTTCATTGATTTTTTTGTATGTGCAATTGTTTTTTGAAAGTACATGTAGTTATTTATTACACTTCCCTTTTAGTTTGCCTGCTTAAGACTTGATTACAGTTCCAATATAAAAATACGAATTTGGGGTATGATTGCCAATGAGACAACTCTCAACCAGATAGCAAATGACGAAAAGATTATTGCGTATATGTCTCTGACTGCTTTCAACAATGAGCAGAACCAATACCGCATAGTAAGCTACATGCTTCTGTTGTAGTACTGTTGATCCACTTTTTTACAACAGACTTTTACTTACTACCTGCTTGTTCGTTGCTGTTGGAACATTTCGAACTGCTTGGAAACAAGAAAATTAGCCATAGATTAGGTCTCTAGAAACATTACCATACATTTGGATATAAAAAAAAACTGCCATAGTTTGGGATGGCTATCTGCAATAGATCTGAAACCCATCATGGATGTGAGTCCCACATATACATCATCGTCCTATGTTCCATTTATGGGCCTACTGTATTCGATTATCACCAAGTTTGTATTAACATGAGCAACTCGACAAAACCAACTTATTCTTCCGGAACACCTGATATCAATCTCGTTTTCGAAACGGATTTGTGCTGCTCAGTTTTCGTTTTGTATGTTGTATTTTTCGATTGGTTGTTTGTCTTTGATTTATCAATTCCAGGGTACATTTTCATCTGTATGTTTAAAGTAAAGGTGTATCAATTATTTGGACAACTTTTCTTATGTGTGCTACATCATTCTTTCAATTTTATGCTAGTTTGTGTACTTAAATGTGCATAAAAGACACACCACCTATATTATTGGCACCCGTCTCGATCCATGTTAAATTGTTCACTTGCAAACATGTTATAGGGACGTAACTGGTCACCGGAACTTTGAATACAACAAACAGGGTAATAAGTTTTAGAACCAGGAAATATATACTCTCATTTTTAAAATTCTTTCGTACATGTTTGTATTATTTAAAATTATTAGTCAATCTGTGGTTGTACAATGGTCACCAGGTTTTCACCTTTCAATTGCTACTTACTTAAATATTATGATAATATTAGAATTTCAACATGGATAAAATGTAATCAATATGTCATAATGTTTAGGCTTTAAATAAATATCTTTTTGGGCAATTTAATGCAAGCACACGAGGTGTATTGTGTCTTATATTGTTAGAGGTTAATAATGTTTAACAACCATATTATATCAATGTGTAAACACGTTAATTATGAGCTATGAAAATCAAGTAGTTCGTGCATGTTTCCGAGTAGGTTTAAAAAAATTTCAAACAAATATATTTCACTGTGGGTTAGCATTCATTAGCTGTCACTATCCTATGGATTTACAACTGGTGATTATATTGATAATTCAGAATCGTCATTGAAGGTGGAGCACGAATTCTGTGTTAATTAATTCTTTTGATTTGTCATTTGTATGCAAGAGTTAAATTCCTTTGAACTATGTTCAATTCCAAAAAGTCAATGTGTTGAATGCTACCTTGAACAGGGTTATAATTTCATCTTTACATATAGTTATTTTATTGAATTTAAAATCGTTACAAAATCTATAAATGTACTAGATCTTAATATTTTTTATTGGTTTATTAAAGACATTTCTGTATATCTATAATTTCATTTATTTGTTTTGAAATGTTTAAAATTAATATATACCAACATTCAAAATTATTTTCTTATCTTATAAATATTATTTTGTTACTTTTAAATATTCCGACCGTACACGACCGTCATAGATGTGCAAGGTGAAATCTACTCTCATCAACATTAAGTGTTTCTTAATGTGATGAGACAAATTACTCTGAAATCACAGATAGAGCATTTCTTCCAAGTAATCATGAAATTGCTCTCTTTTAAAGCCGTATTCTGGTAATAATTCTAAAAAAGTTTTCTCTCTACTTTTAATTTGAGGTACACTATGCCAGTGAATAACACATGTTAATTCTGCTATTAGGAATACACTGTTTCAAGTTGTGGTATGCATCATATAGTCTCCAACAGCATTCATCCTGCTACTTGTTGAAGCATTTGTTGCTTTAATATGGTATATACAATTATGTCAGAACTCAAATGAAGAAGACACGCAGTCTTAATTTATCTGCATTACTCGATCCCTAAAGACAAATACATGAAAAAAGTGTCATACTCCCTAACACAAATGCAAAAACAGAACACCATAGCCACCACTTTATTCCAGAAACTTCAAACTTATGCCGAATGCTTTAGTGAAAAATTATAATTGGAACCTACTCAAAACATTACTTTTTTGAAAAAGACTATAAATGAAAACACAATTATATTATCTCCCAATAATGATAGACTGTTGGGAAAATTGACCAGAGTTATCTTACATTAATCACAGAGAGGGGCTAGCAAACAATTTTAAGCTTATTTAACGTTAAAACAATTTTTCACTAAAAATGAATGTTACTTTATTCAAATATAAAGACTTTGTTAGCTAAATCTACTATTTTTTTTTATATAATATGAATTTTTATGACAATAGATAAACATGCTACTAGTATTCTGTTTTTAATACTACATTCAATTATGTTATTTTTAACGGACTAGATTGGCCGTATGAAACCTGCTTTGATTTCCGAATTAGTTTGCAAAGAATGCCGCTCAAAACAGTGCTACGGTCGTCTTTAACCTGCATTGAAGTGAATTTTATTTCGCATACGATCCATGGTTTTAGTAAGACTAAGGGATGCAAAGCAGTAATACATGCGTTTTTTGTTTGTTTTTTGTTTGTTTGATTTTTTTTTTTGCTGTACATGTATCAATTTTGTGTCATGGATGGAATCCCCATATGTCATTGGACCGGTCAAATATCAGTAACACGCCCGAAAGAATAGCCACAGATTGCCATTGGATATGAATATTGGTATTGTCTCATAAATTAGTTTTGTAAAGTTGACAGTTAGTGAATTTTTTTTATAAGCTGTAAGTCCTGTTGTTTAATATATTTTGTAAAAAAATCAAGGTATTTATATATTCGTGTCTTCAAATGTTTCTGCTGAGTACCCCTATGGATGCATCGAATTTAATTTTTTTTTTTATTTTCGTTGTTTTGAACTGTGGATATACACTCGTCAAAAATACCATGATTAAAATTGTTGTTCGCAGGACAAGCATTTCGTCATAAAGACACTCATCAGTGACGCTCGAATCAAAAACGTCAAAAAGGTCAAATAAAGTACGAAGTTGGAGAGTATTTAGCACCAAACATTCCAAAAGGTTTTTGTTGAATACTGCCAAAGTTCTCTATTCCTGAGGTAGAAAATCCCTAGTATTTCGAAAAATTCAAAGTTTTGTAATCTGTTAATTCACAGTTTTGACCGTACCATTACAAAAAAAATGAATTATAATCCATGTCAACACATAATGCTGACAACTGAGCTGTTGATACCCCCGAGATAGAAACCTCCACCAGCAATGGCATCGACTAATTTGTTGCAAATAACTTATCATGGATGCAACAAATGAATTTTTAATAACGATGACATATGCATGCTCTCAGCAGGTTTATGTTACCATCAAAATTGGGTGAACTTGAATACTTTTCCCCCAAACATAAAATGTTGAAATAATAACACAATTTTTCAGCATACTTGTGTTTGCATAATAAAGTACATTTAACAATGAAATGTGCAAACAGTCTATTCGAACATAACTGATCTATTAATTGTCAATTCCGTTGATCTATCTTGCATTAGCAGTTAGTAGTAATCTTAGATCGGTACAATATGTCTTTGTCGGTTTTTGTGCAACGTGTCAATGCATCAAGCTAGTTCTAACTACTGTTCGCAGTTAAGTCTGATCTTGTCCGTTTTACCAATTGTTTAAGAGGTTGCAAATATGTTTAACTCCGCCACATTATATAGTGCCTGTCACAAGTAAAAATGCATTGATTGCTTTCTTTGTATTATTCGACTGTAAATAAAAAAAATTATATCGAGGTTTTGCAATACGAAAAATGCGACTCCTTGAGTTTCACAATAATAAGAACTCCTATTATAATATCAAAACATGTATTTGTATGAAGCTTTCCCTTAAATGTCAAAAATGAAACTCGATTTTTTTTTTCATTCTTAACAAGTCGAAATAGTAAATGGACGCAACTGTCAAAGCGTTCGCGAACATGTTTAACTCTGTCACAGCATATAGTGCATGATACAAGGTATGTAAAGCCATAGTTGTTATTTTTTTGTTTCTTTTTATTTGTCTATTTGTTTAAATTGTTTGTCATCAACCCGTGTTCTTTCACGGACTACGTGGTTTGGAGTTTGTTAATTGTTTTTAGAAACACAAATAATCATTAAGGAAAACAAAAAGTCAGTCACTTTAAAAAAAAAAAGCACAAATCGCTGTATTAATTTTAATGATATCAAAAGTCACGTATTCGTAATGTAAAGAAAATAAAGCTGACTTATAATATAATGTAGATGTATCTAAATGTATACATTAGAAATATAGTATAACGGAGAAAACACCTCTTTTATCTGCTCTGCGTGTTTCCGTATACCACGAGTTGTACCATAAATGCGTTTATAAAATGATAGTGCAGTACAAACAATCTCGGTCATTTTTGGTCCATAAAAAATACCTTTTGATCATCATTTAAGGATTCCGTTTGAATGATTAAATTGAGAGCAATGACGTTAAAACGATCAATTAATAATGGAAAATTGATAATTTAAGAACTTTACTAATACGTATATAGGTATATAATTTATATTACAACATGTATTTACATACATTGTGCAATGCGCAGGCTTGCATCAATTTCCGTTGAATATATTGAATTTTTACGGTAAAAGGTCAACAGTCTGGATAGAAGCGTGCTTCAAATTATGTCATGTTTAGTCATGGGAAATTTGTTTGTGTCAATGCTGAATTTAAGGCATTGCAAGGATAATCTATATATTCATATTAAACCTAATCTGTTCTCTAATTTGTGAATGAGAGATATGTGTATAGTTTTATTTCTAATTTTGATGACCTGATATATGTTACATTTTTAAAACTAAGTATTTAGAAAAATTTAAAAAAATCGGAGTACATGGCCTTTAAACAATGTCATACATACGGGGAATCGTTGTTATTACGTGTACAGAAGATGTTAACTTATTTTTTTAATGTTATACCATGTTATTATAAGATATTCATGAAAAAAAATGTCTGTTGCCACAATAATGATATTAGTTTCAATTGAAAGAACATTGGTCAATAAACCATACAATACGTCATAGTAAGTGCTACATGTACACTTCATTAGTGTTTGTATAAAAATAAAAAGAGGTGGTCATTGTCAATAGCGCAACTTCCCATCAGAGATCAGCTAATGTACTGATTAAACTAAATAATGTCCCATAACATTAAGCACATAATAATATTCTTTTCGACAAATTAGTCCTTCTTCATTGGATGCTTCATCCTTAGTTTATTTTCTGATTGCAATCAAATGCATTACATGTGTTATTGAACGTCCCATCCGTTTGTCAGTTTAAATCACTTTTCAATTTTGTTTGTACAGTTTTATTAAATGTCAGTTATGGCATTGTCTACTCTTTAAACTGTCTTCTGTTGATACATGTATAGTATACATTTGTTGATGAACCAATTTTGTTAAGTATTTCAACAATACAACTTCACCTATAATAAATAACAAAATAGTTAGGATACAACAATGTACTATCTATAGTATTAGTCAAAATTTGCTGATACACTATTCACATATTGCATTTACCACCAGAAGCTAAACTTTCATTTTCGGCTATTGTTAACGTCAGATTGGTTTAAATATTATCGTGCAACGTAAAAATATCCTTATCGTGATTCGGCAGATGTATCAAAAAATTTCCCAGTACCGTTATGTTTCAAAAGAATTAAATGTTGTTCGTCAAAATCAGTCGATTGTTTTTCATCATCGTAAAAGAAAATGTACATTTTATCATCATTCATTCAAACTTACCGTAAAGTAATTTTACAACGTTTTCTTTCTGTTATTCGTCATGAAGATATTCCAATGACGAACCTCTAATCGATTTTCGTTCGTTGGTAAACATGGTCAAGTTCGAGGCTTGATTGTGCCAGGTTTTTATTGACATACCTTTTTGAATCGGTATGTATGCTTTCCTTTTTTTTAAATATACATTCTCTGGATTCTATGTAACCTCTTTTGATACGAAAAAGTTTGGAAATACTGTAATGCAAGACTTGGTAAGTGTATGCAAATTGTTTGATCGTGGCGAATATAAGCTGATTAGTTTGGCTAAGTTCTGACCAAGTTTCCATAAATTGATGTCGGCTTCCAAACGATATCAACAATCTATATTGTCAGGAAATCATCCTTAAACATAATGCCAACCAAACAGGGCTTGTATTTTCTAACACGATTTCCCTCAAAAGAGTATTGCTGCTCACATGGAAGGTAATAAATCAAGAGTTCTGAGGGGTGAAGTTGAAATCATCCCTTCGTTAATTGTAGGGACGTCATCACGAGTTTGTTCACCGTTTCGGCATATCCGTTAAACAGATAATAGCGAATGTGGTCAACTTCATCTTTAGTGACGGATTGAAAAAAAGTTAAATTGTTAAACTGTGATTTTTTTTTATGATAATAGCCAAACAAATAGGGAAAATTGACGAAAAATGGGAAAAACTTTAAAAATTGGGTACTTCCAAATGGTCCACTTAAAAAAAGAAGTTCAACACCATATGATTTTTTTCTTAATCAGTTACCTTCTTACAATTATATAAACCATAAAATCGGGTTAAGAATCAAGTTTAATTCTAGAAACATTTTGCTCCTCAGAACTGTACATTCTAAATTATGATATGATATCATAATAATTACAAAACGTCACAAACGTTCGCATTGTATGGGTTGCAGTCAAAATGTCACAGACATACAAATAACGGTGCACTGTCAATAGGAATAGTCATATCTATATACTATTTCTAGATATAATAAAATCAACACATTATAGTTACCTTTCGAACTAGATTTCTGTTTTGTTTGTCAATTGAATTATGTTACACCACTATACATGCCATAGTTCAACCTGCAAATAAATAAACTATTTATATCATGGTATGTGTTAACGTACGTGTCTTTTGTATACCATGCATATAGCCAACAACAACTTATTAAATTTTTCTACCTATGGTTGTCCTTATTATAATAGGCAAATGTGGACTCTACAGTCAAATAAATTATTAATATGAAATGACAATTCTGTATTTTTTATGTGAAGAGATAAAAACACATTAGTGGATTTATAGATGTTGTGGATCCAGGGTTTTGACAAAATGTCCAATTGATCTCCTGTAGATCTGGTCAATAAAGTTTACAAATACAATAATTTCCCATTTCATATGAGTTTCCGTCATTTGGGTTTGCACTGTAGAAATTTGAGGAAAAATCGTAAAGATACGAATTTAAACTTTTTTCGAATCTACATCTATTATGTCTATTTGGGTTGCTCGACCCTTGTTGTCAATATAACGGAGCTTTACACATTTGAAATACAATGTTTTCTTGAGGTAACAATCTGCTCTATCACCGTCTCAGCCATGAATCATTTATATAGTGTACAGCTGGCAAGGACTTGTCTGTTTTCTTTCGTTCAAAACAATGAAAATTCGTCGATTTGAATAACAGAACTACGTATAAATATATATGAATTACTATTTACAATAATGTTCAAATATTTTTAAGCTATTCAACACCTACATGTACCTACTTTTAACTTCAACCCAAACTATCAGACCCTTCCTTATAAGTATTCCCCTTGCACCTTTTTTATAATTGTGATAGACACACCGACGATAAATGTAACAGCAAACACTACATAAATACACAAAATATAATTATTTTTACACAGTTTACAAACATGTTTTTTTAAATTATGTTCGATGCTTAATAATAAAAAAAACAAAAACTCATCTTGCTGTTAAACCTCCTTACTTCCAGATGTTTAGTACTAGTCATTAATGAAGTTTTTACAGTGTTTAAAAATCAAATTGTCGTTTTGTATTACGATCTTTGTTTTATATTTTGTTTACAAAGATATTGTGGAATTTATATCTATTAGGAATATGACTGTTGTTTTCCATTTGATTGATGTGTTTGGGCTTTTCATTTTGCCATTTGATAAGGGACTTTCCAATTTGAATTTGTTATTTTTGAACATTAAGCAGGTGTTTAAATAATATGTCAAGATCGCTATCAATTTGAACTTAGAAAAAAGAGGCGAAGGATACCAAAGGGACATTTTAACTAATAAGTCTACAATAAACTGACAACGCCATGGCTAAAGGAAAAAGAAAAACAACAGTACAGAAATATAGAGACTAAGCATCACGAACCCCACAAAAACTGGGGGTTATCTCAGGTGCTCCTGAAGGGTAAGTAGATCTTGCTCTACATGTGGCACCCATGGTATTGCTCATGTAAGTACAAACCTGGTGATTAGTCTAATTTGGTAGGTTTTGGGTGAAAAGGGGTCAGGATTGTCGTTTCGATGATTCGAACATATCTGTTGTCATCTGTGAAACCAACTCGTGATGGCGTCCGTTTACGAAGAATGATTTCAACTTAACCACATGGAGCTCTTGATTTATTAGCTTCATTGTGATCAGCAACCCTCTATAAAGGAAATGATGACATGAAAGGCAATATCTTATCAACTGAAAAAATATATACTCTGTATGCAGGCGCTACTGGAAATATGCTACATATCTGGTTAGTTCACAATTGGGAAGCTGAAATCATCTCTTTTGTCGTGAAGTTTTGTTTTTCAAACTGATAGTCTTTTTCTAAATTTAAGTCAAGATATGAGACAGACCTAACTGTATATGTGGTATCCTGTATCTCAAGTTCGACGGAATAGATGAGTCCTCATAGTCACAAAATGTTAACTGCAAAGTTCCTTTCTTTCTACCTACCTTAGAAGTTCCTGTATGAAATCAGCCTAATATTAAGAACAGAACAAGTCGACAAGTTCGATGGAATAGATGCGTCCTCATAGTCACAAACTTTTGAATTATTAATTGAGAGAGCATCATCTATTTAGCAGAAAGTGAAGTTCAATGATACTGCAAAGTTCTTTTTGTTCTACCTACATGAGAAGTTCCCGTATGAAATCAGCCTCATGTTTATAAAAGAACAAGTCGACAAGAAGAGGATCGCAATGGGTACTCATGGGAATGCCGATTTGTTGTTGTAAAACACGTCCACGTCTACAAACGTAACACATATGTTGCCAATTAAAAAATGAAGCATAACACATATACATACCAGATACCTCTAAGTGTTAATCTCGACCAGATAATTAACAAAAGGCTAAGAACAGAAAGAGTTTAGAAATCATTACACTAACGCTATAGTAAGCATAAACAAGACCGCAAAATACCTAATTAACTCGTTTCTAAATAGTCTTCCGTCCCTTATCATGCGTATGTAAGTAAATGTAATAAAGGATGGATTTAATAAAGCAACATATAAAAAATTATTGAAAACTTTTATCATGCATAACACCCAGGCATATACAAGGTTTTTACACAATGGAAGTAAACATAACCCTTAAAAACAAGCGATTATTGCTCAGAACTGTTTTTGACAATGATAATGGTTTTCTTTTTAACAAACAATTGAATTGTTACCAAATATTGTGATGCATTTTAGTTTATATTAAGAATTACAAATTAGGCTGCATCCTAAACATGTCATTCTAACATTTCCGGATGACATGACTTCCGTGTCTTCAGTATTTTTCAAAGCATTTTTAGTGTTATAAATTATCGTTAACGCCCTTTGTTTAAATAACTTCTTTATTCTGATATCTCAATATCAATTTCTGAATTGATAAGGAATCGGTAAGATGTTTAAAAATTACGGGACCGTATTACAGTAAAACGTACCTACTCACCCGAAAGTCAAATCTTATTGACATCGCAAAATCATGATCAAGAGAAATCGATCTAGTAAAATGAAAAAAAAAAACTGTAAACATATCTTTTAGAGTGTAGTTCAATTCATGACATTTTTTTGTCGTGTATTACAAGTTTGAAAGAAAAGTGAATTTGTAAAAAAAGAAAGGGTGCAAAAGTAAATATTTCAATATATAAGAGCAGAGGTATTGGGTCATTTACATTTATCTAAAGCAATATAATGATATGTCATCGACAGATTATTTTTCCTAATTTGGCCAAATAATATACGTCGTTGATAAGAATGAGTAGGAACAGTTACTTAACTTATTTAGAATTAAGCATTTGTGTCGTAAAATCTCATTAACAGCCTGTCCAGTCTTGAACATTAAATGTTATGTATTATCATACTTAGTGTGAACAGTGTTTACACAATGATATCAAGTATAACACTGTATTTTATAAATGTCAAATAATAAGAACTGAAATAGTGAATAATGAATTAAAGTTGAATATATGTTAGAAATAAAGGTAATAAAACACAATTATTCAAATAGAGAAGTTGTTAATGATAATTTGTATAATCTAAGGAAACAAGATGAACATTTAAAAATAACAACCTAACAGTAACATTATTCAATGCATCGAGGTCAAATGAAGAAGAAAATATACATATACAAATATACAAAGTACAATTGAATAATTAGAGTAAAAGCTATATTAGAAAGCAACAAGCAATGATCAATGCAATAAATTAAAAACAGATGCAAGACAATAATGAATCATTATCGCATTTAAAAAAAATAAATATAAAAACAAACAAAACATACTAACTAGTAGTTAAATATTTGAAAGATTGACTCTAAGTATAATTGTAAGTGCTGGTGTTTTAATTGTGACTCGTTCAAGCGATATTATCATAATGTATGATCCAATAAACTCGTCATACATTTTTTTTTCATGTTGGTCAAATAATATATTAATCACGAATTGTACAGCAATAACTTTTCCGTGTCTGTCCCAATACCGCCACTAACATTGTGGTATTCGTGTTTAGATGTTGAGTTGTTTATGAGACAATATATAAATACCTAACATTATAACATGTTCATGATGTTTAAGCATGTGTGTATACTAATTTAATATACTATTATCAAGTAGTGTTAACCCAAGTGGGTTTTTGAAGTAGGTTATCGTTACAAGTAATCATATATTATCATACCTGAAGAATTAAAAAAAAATATATTGCTAATCCAAATGGTATCGTTATACAAAACAGTCGGCGTGGATCCTGGTGCTTTATCTATCATCAGCAACTGATTGTTATTACTGTAATATATGTAACTACCAAAAACGCTAATGGCTGAGTAGTCCATTTCAACATTTGTGAAAAAGAGTGTTTGAACGTTAGAGCCATCGGTTTCAGCTGAGTTCAGATAACTGTTGAAATAATTCCAATACAGTCTTTGCTCATCAATGTCTAAAATATTTATAACAACATATATACAGTCAAAATGCAATTCCACGAATGAGTGTATCAGGGTTGTTAAAAATCTGGTGTAAACTTTACGATTGGGGCACTCAGATAAACTATGTAACAAACATATCAATATCATAAACAAATAAATATTTACCCCCAGTTTTTGGTGGGGTTCGTGTTGGTCTGTTTTTAGTTTTCTGCGTTGTGTTTTGTGTACTGTTGTTTGTCTGTTGGTCTTTATTTTTCTTTTTAGCCATGACGTTGACATTTATTTTCCACTTCGGTGTCTTTCGCCTATCTTTTACAGATTATATCATTTTTTTTTAAAGTTCCACAGCAGGTCCTCAAAGCATTTGATAAGCATTAAACATATTCTTTGTAAGGAAAATGATTATCCGTGATCAATATTTTCCTAACAAAAAGACCAAATGTCTACAGTAAGTTTTTCCAGAGGCGTTGAGGTCATACCTCTTAGTTCATTTATTTATGATACTGCATTTGTAATGTGTAATCGTATACCAATAATACATAGCTTACTCATGTTATTGTGACTTAAACGTTTTTCTAATGAGAAGAATACTGTCAACGATAATAAATATTTTATATGAAAGAATTGGTCAGATGAGTAAAGAGACTTGAAGTGATTGTTTACAGATTTTGATCGTGATATTCACAGTTTGAAACTTTCTATTCCAGAAGTTTCAAGAGAGAAAAAATAATAGAAGTAGTGGTGCTTCTGACTCTGAACTTATTATCAAAGACGGGACAAAATAATTTTGGGCGATCAACTATTTGAATTCTGAAAAGGTATATGCATTACACCTAACCAAATTAGATACTTATTTAACCAATTTCCTAAGTATATGTTCAGCGTTTTTGTATTTGAAATACAGCTTTCGAAGTTCTGATCCAAACTAACAGAATCAGTAATATATAACATTTGTTGAAAAACAAATATATACAAGCTTCATACTTTTAGTAACTTCTCTGTGCAAAAAAACCAATTCAAACATACAACCTTTAATTTTAACCTATGCCCTCCCCATTGGAAACACGTTTTTTTTTTTTTTTTTCTCGGAAAATGATTATCAAATTTGATACTAAGACGTGTAGCATGTGTATTGTAAACGATTTTGATTGAAGATAATCAATCATGTGGGTCACTCTATAAAATAAATTTGAGAATTGAAAAGGAAATTGTTGTAGAGACAACAACCTGACAAAAAGGTGAAAACAACCCAAGGACACCAACGGGTCTTTAACACAGCGGGAAAATCGCGCATCCGAAGGCGGATTTCAGCCGGCACCTAAACAAACATGAATACTAGTTCAACGAAAAGTATTGATGAACCACAAAATTGTTCAAGTGTTCCTCTAATAAATATTTGACATTAGCAACAAAACTGTCCTGGGAAATGATGAAAATGAGTTGATTGTCCACTGATTCAACTTCTTTTACACTCTCAGCAAGATTGCTTTAAAATTTTGTTTTTTAGTGCTTATGAAAAGGAAAATTAAATTTTATTTTATAACAAATTTAGTCTTCCAACCTTAACTACTCCTTTCTCTAATGATTTAAGCTGGTTTGATAGAATTATCAAGGAAGGCTGAAACTTCTATGATAAATTCGGCTTAAGACTTTTAGAATTCAAGACATACACTGCTTAAAGTTTCAAGACAAAAGTATTTATTTGGAATGAACTTAATAAACTTATGATGTGAGCTGACTGACAAAGCAGCATTGACAATGTAGGTGCTGTTTTAAACCAGTCTTTTCAATAGCAACATTTCAATTAATTTTAAGACCTAAACACTGCGCTTGCTGTCAATTAAGATGTTTTAGGTCTATGTACAGACTGTTCAGTAGTTGTTATTAAACTGGATGACCGCATTCTGAATTGTCTGAAAATGTTCTGAACATTACTGAACAGACTGAAACAACATTGTGTGAACAGTCATACATTAACTACAAGCAATTATCTGGTAAACAAACTTTAGCATAGCTTAACGTTTTTGGTCTCAAAATGACCGTTTAGGACTACACATTTACCAGTGAGTTTTTTTTCTTTAAACATTTCACAAAATCCTACTAATATAACATGTTTAAGGTATCCGCCGTCTGCAAATATAGAGTTTCCAAACAAACAACAACTATTTAATAAATTAAAATGTTAGCCGTTTTTTTTTAACTATTTCATCATTCTAAAAGTCTGGACATTAAATATATCAGTCTTGGTTAGAGATTTAGTAATCTTTATTGACTGCATACAATGCGTCTGATCAGTACTGAATTAACCAAGTAGGTTACGTGTAGATTGAAACTCAGTTTAGACTCAGTGGTTTAACAATGACAGGGTTAATTAGACCCAAATCGCTGTCAAAATTGTCAAAGCAAAAAAGCACTTTGGTCAATAACATTATCACAACTAATCTTACAAAGAAAATAAACTCATAGTATAAACAAACTGAAGTCATTATTATCATACAACAATGTAATGACTCTTACATTGACGTATTTAGAGTCCAAAATGATATGTCACTAGTGTATCTAACAACGATTTTAATTTTAAAGAATCCGGAGCCATGTGCGCTAAACAGGTTTTTATATTAAAGTGTATGTATGTGGTCATTTGCAAAACACAACATTTACCATGGTACACTGTAGATAATTATTCAGTTTGAAACCAGTTGTTAATACTGTATATTCATTGAAAATTGAGACTTGATCTGTGTTACTAGTTGAGATTACAGCATTCTTGCTACGTAATAAAGTAGAAACAATAGTTCGTTCGCAGAAACCCTCATATATTTAGTTTATTTCTTTTTGGTCATGTTACTAAAGTGTTTATTATGACAAGATTGACATAAACACAGCTGGTATTTTCTTCTTTTATGTTGTTTTCAGTTTTCTGTTGTTTGTTTTTTTTTTACACAAAAAAACGTATGGACGTCCATTGAAGGTACATATTTGCATAAACATAGTAATACAAAAGTATAGTTCGACGGATTGTAGATACATAAAAGTATAGGATTTTATACTAAAAATGGCATAGTGTTACATGTCTATGATAATTACAACACATCTAACTAGTTACAACGTACCTATATCTATGCAAAAAAACATTTAACGTTAAGTTAACGATCCTTTGCATTTCAGCTAAATCGAATCTTGATTTATGTATTCCAGATTTTCCGAGAAAATACATCCACCAGAAAGAAAAAACGAAAATGTTTATGTGTGTGTATGTTTATGTGTATGTGTTTTTACTTACGTATTCAATAAACAATTAAGAGAGAGGTGGAAGTTACTGAGTGAGAAATATGATGAAGACATTTGATGAGCCCTTTACATGATAATATCATACAATGTTTTGTCAATTTCAAGGACGACTAAGAGTTGTCATATTGAGTCCAGAGGAAAGTATTCCGTGCACGTGAACAAATTTACATTTAACATAAAGTGGGTCACCTGGGTTAAAAAACTGTATATTTGAAA